TGTGAAATTAGTTTCGCGAATCGTACCCAGATGGTCTTGCCCTAAAGTGTTCGTGAACAAGGGCCACTAAGGTTAGGAAAAATGTCACCAAGTCTATAAACAATCCCATAATTTCTTACCTGGTTGACAGTAAACACTATTAAAATAGGAGGAGTCTAGTTTCTCATTGTGCTAGAAGCCTTTATGATCATGCGATCCTCAAACGTAATTGTTCGACCAAATAATTCGGAATAAAACATAGACGACCTACTTATCGAATTGCAAGCATCATTACTAAGGTTTAGCTTAATAATTTCAAATAAATTATTTCTAATACCTTAAAAAGCAAAAACTGAAATATGTGACGTTTTGCAACCTGGATAACTCGCTCCTTCAGAAACGCAATTTTAACTTAGTCACTATTACCTATCAGGAAAACCTTATTTAAGAAGTCCAACAGAATGGGGTTGTGTTTCCTATTGCTACAGATTGGCATTTCAATGAACTTCGTTTTTGCGAAGATATGTAATCGAGTTTTTTAACGAACTGTTTCTAGAATAATGACTCCGCCTGTAGCTCTTCTAGAGTTACTGCCGGTCCCAACCTCGGGTAAAGTAGGAGGTTTGGGCATGAGGTTAGCTAACACATCCCATAGAAAACTAACTCGCTAAAAAACGCTAACCAGAAAAAAAAACAATTCAAACCATTTAAACTCTGCCCTGGGAGTTAGAAGGTCTTCATTTAGAAGAACTATCACGCCTCATGGTGAAAGCCGACTTCCTTCGGAAGCCACGAAGCCGATGTCTTTTCTAACAACCAGAGCAACAAATTTTAAAGGAACATGGAACGTACGGACAATGTGGGAGACTGGGAAGACCAGTCAAATAGCAACGGAAAGGAGGGGATACAACTTGGCAGTACTGGGAATCAGCAAAACCCATTGGACCCAAGCTGGACAACAAAGGCTAAATACGGGAGAGATGCTGCTGTACTCCGATCACGAAGAGGAAAATGCTCCACACACTCAGGGAGTTGCTCTAATACTGTCCAAACTGGCACGAAATGCACTTGTAGGATGAGAATTTCACGGACCCAGAATCATCAAAGCATCATTCACAATAAAGAAGGAGGGAATTACAGTGAATATTATCCAGCGTTATGCACCCACCAATGATAGCAACGACAACAATAAAGATCAATTCTATGAGTGGCTGCAATCAATCATAGAGAAGTGCCCAAGACGGGACCTCACCATTCTGATGGGAGATCTAAACGTCAAAGTCGGAAGAGACAACACCGGATATGAAGATATCATGAGACGACATGGACTAGGAGAGAGAAACGGAAATGGAGAAAGATTTGCAAATTTGTGTGCAATCAACAAATTGGTCATAGGAGGCACAATATTCCCACACAAACGTATACACAAGGCTACATGGATCTCACTACATCACACCACAGAGAACGAGATAGATCAGTTTTGTAACCATAAATAATTCCGAAGGACAATGGAAGATGTGAGAACAAGGAGAGGAGCTGATATAGCTTCACCTTGCTGGCCACCTTGTTGTGGCCAATTTAAAACTGCAACTAAAGAAGAACTGGACAACTAGGCAAACAGCAATACAAAGCTTCAATACAGCCTTCCTTCGAGATACTGACAGACTCAATGAATTCAAGATAGCTCTCAACAACAGGTTCCAAGCCTTACAGGATCTACTGAAGGAAGAAGAAACGACTATGGAGGACAACTGGAAAGGTATCAAAGAAGCATTAACTTCAATGTGTCAAGAGGTTCTGGGCCTCAACAAGCATCATCATAAGGAATGGATCTCTATAGAAACACTGGACAAGATCAAAGAAAGGAAGAACAAGAAGACAGCAATTAACAACAGCCGAACACGAGCAGAGAAAGTCAAGGCACAAACTGAGTACATAGAGGCAGACAAGCAAGTGAAGAAGAGCATTAAAGCCGACAAGAAGAAATACGTGGAAGAACTAGCAATGACGGCGGAAAAAGCTGCAAGAGAAGAAAATATGAAACAGCTGTATGATACAACGAAGAAACTAGCAGGGAGATATAGTGGGCCAGAGAGACTGGTCAAAGACAAAGAAGGCAGGCCAATCACTGAAACTCAACAACAGCGGAACAGATGGGTAGAATACTTCGAGGAACTCCTGAATAGACCGGCTCCAATGAATCCACCAGACAACGAAGCAGTACACACAGATCATCCTGTGGATGTCAATCAACCAACGACCAAAGAAATCACGATGGTCATCAGACAAATCAAGAGCGGGAAAGCAGCAGGACCTGATAATACACTAGCTGAAGCACTGAAGTCAGACACCGAAGTAACTACAAACATGCTTCATACTCTATTCAAGAAGATTTGGGAGGAGGAACAGGTGCTGACGGACTGGAAAGAAGGACACTTCATCAAGATTCCAAAGAAAGGAGATCTGAGCAAATATGAAAACTACAGAGGCATCACACTACTGTCAGCACTAGGGAAAGTCTTTAACAGAGTGTTGCTGAACCGGATGAAAGACACAGAAGACGCCGAACTTGGAGTTCAGCAGGCTGGATTTCGTCGCGATCGGTCGTGCACAGACCAAATTGCAACACTACGGATCATCGTCGAACAATCAGTTGAGTGGAACTCGACACTGTACATCAACTTCATTGATTATGAAAAGGCACTTGACAGTGTAGATAGGAGTACATTACGGAAGCTTCGTCGACACTACGGAGTTCCTGAGAAGATTGTCAACATTATCCGGAACTCATACGACGGAATACAGTGCAATGTAATGCATGGACGACAGCTGACAAATGCATTCCAAGTAAGAATCGGAGTCAGACAAGGGTGTCTACTCCCCCACTTCCTCTCTCTTCTGATGGTCGACTGGATTGTGAAGATCTCGACATCTGAAGGGAAACACGGCGTACAATGGACAGCTCAGAACCAATTAGACGATTTGGACTTCGCAGATGACCTAGCCCTCCTATCGCATACACACCAACAAATGCAGATAAAGACAGCCAGTATAGCATCAGTCTCTGCATCAATAGGCCTCAACATTCATAAGGGGTAAACCAAGCTCCTCGAATACAACACAGAGAACACCAATCCAATCACACTTGATGGCGAAACTCTGGAAGATGTAGAATCCTTCACATACCTGTGAAGCATCATCGATGAACATGGAGGTTCAGATGCAGACGTAATGGCGAGGATTGGCAGAACGAGGGCCGCATCCCTACAATTGAAGAACATATGGAACTCAAAACAACTTTCAACCAATATCAAAGTCACAATCTTCAATACCAATGTCAACACAGTGCTACTGCACGGAGCTGACGATTGGGGAACTACTACAACCATCATCAAGAAGGTAGAAGTATTTATAAATAGTTGTCTACGCAGGATACTCAACATCCATTGGCCGGATACCATCAGCAACAGCCTTCTGTGGGAGAGAACAAACCAGCTTCCAGCTGAAGAGGTAATTAGGAAAAGACGATGGAAACGGATAGGACATACATTACACAAATCATCAAACTGCATCACGAGGCAGGTTGTAACTTGGAATCGTGAAGGGAAGCTGAGAAGAGGAAGGCCAAAGAACAGATATGAAGAGGATGAATAACAACTGATTGCCTAGGACAGGGTTGGATGGCGAGTGCTGGTTGGCGGCCTATGCTCCTCCACGAGGGGCAAGAGGCGTAAGAGAAAGTGACTATTCGAATTTGTCAGTAGATTGATTTTATCAATAATAGTTTGAGTATAATGCACCTACAGTGTTGAGAACAATTAATTTTCTAGTACGAAGTTAAAAAACAAACTTCATAGACATCTGACAGAAAATTTTAAAAGAACTATGAATGAACTAATTCTATTTTCACAATGTACCTGGATGGCTTCTTAATGCACGAATGAAATACTTTCAAGTATAATTCCCTCACATGATTCCTTCATAGCCCCACAGAATATGTTATGAGAATCCGAGAATTTAAACATTATTTTCTCAACGAAATCTCCAAACTACACAAGGTATACTACAAATATGAGCTAATCAGAGTCAGTGAATTCCTCACTAGTGCAGAGAAGTAATCAATATGTAAGCGATAAACACAATAATACAGCAAAGAGAAAGGAGCTAGGAAAAAAAGATGTATAATAGTATGTTTGAGACAAAGAGAATAAATCTGGGTCATTAAGACTGGTTTTTGGCCATATTACCCAGTCTTCGGCCAGCGATTTGAATTGTTTTTGAGCCTCAATCAACAATATTACATCTTTCCACATAGTTCAGGACAACAATCACTGAACTGAGGAGTTGGTGTTATCAGTCTGAACACTAATACACTTCATCTATCGCTTATCTATGTAATAGGCAGTGAATTGGGATATATAATACATAATTCGATGAAGGTTTACAGCTCCAACAGACTCATCTTCTTTGTTTGATGTGAAAAGTCTGACACGAGTATTGTTTGACTAGTATTCGTTCTATGTTCTACATTTAATCAACATCTTTAACTAATAAAACAATATCATTTGTATATCTAATTACGGTAGAGAATTTTTTGTTAAGCATCGAATATTGAGTCAGGCAGAACATAGGTTATCTCTAAGAGCGTATATCCACAACAGAATTAGATAAATATCCAGAGTTGATAAACATGGTGAGTTATATTTCCAATGATCACTTTAGAAGTAGCGCACTACAGGTTTTAAGACAAGTAAACGAAAGAAATTAAGGTTTTATAATGCAATTGTTAAGCACCCTTTAAATTTAACTATACAGTAGAATACGACTGGAATTAAGTAGGGGTATATATTTCTCAACGGGCTTAAGATCCGATCTAAAAACGTCGGTAAGGTCTGGGAGCTATTTATTAATCTTCAATTAACTACATGAATAAATCAGTTTTAATGTTTATAAATGTTTATTAGTCTAACGAAGTAAATACCTTCGATAAACACCTTACCAATAAAAAGAAAAACAGTAAGTAGTATATAGAAGTACTTTATTGTATAATAGAAGGGATATACATGCATGCACTACAGCAAAATACATGGCAGTTTGTTTTAAAAAATCCTGTATTGAATCAGTTTAAACAATGATGATTTTTTCTACTTCAAACTTATATGAATATATGAAAAAGTACAAAAGAAACAAAGTTTACTATTGTTACAAATTGTAAAATATAACAAAGAACGATGAAGATCAAGATATGAGCGCAGACCTAACTCTACAAATACAATGAGTAAATAAATAATATGCCTTAGATATTGGTCTTTTGTTTATTTTCGTCACATAAATCCAAGTATGAACCGAAATTTTAAAAGACTATTCGTTACAATACATTACAACTACTATTTTATTTGGTTAATTATGAGGTTTCTATAATACACTGGAACCAGTAGAGAAAAAAACAACAGCTGAGAAGAACGTTATTATGTTATTCACTGTGTTTTGTTAAAAAAGAACAAGTGACCTTGTGTTTGTTGAACAAATAAACAAACAAGAAAAAGAAAAGACAACTACACGAAACTAAATCATCACAGTGAAAACCATAAGATATGGATAATAATATGGAATAAACAATACAGAAAAAAGGGGAAAAATGAAAATGATAGGTTGTAAGTTGAATCATATCTATAGATTTGTTTAAAAGTTTTATAGACACAAACAAACACGAGCACAGATGCATTTCAAGTTCTTGTTGTTTGATCAGAAACAAGATTACCACCAACTAGTTGAGCCATTCCACGATTACCGACTATTTTTATCGCAGGGTTGAATACCTGTTATGCAAAAAAGAGTTGAAAATTATATAAACGTGAAGAATATAGGTTTGATATACAGTTAATAAGCGCCGAAGATGGCCTACATTACCATACGCCGCTTTGGCTTTCATTATACGTGGATTGATCTCATCTCTCACATGACCACCAGCACTTATGCAGCTACATAAAAACATGGACTTCTCAACTATTATCCGCTCACTACCCACAGAGTGCAGGATCAGGGTCCTTCTAGTCTTGGGCAAAAGACGGCCCAGATTAGCATAAGCCGTTCTGGCTTTCGCTATACGTGCATTGATCTCATCACTCACGCCACCACCAGCACTTATGCAGCTAATTAGATACACGAACTTCTAGACTACTTCTATCTGCACACCATCCAGGGTGAGTACAGGATTAGGATCCTGCCAGTCTTGTAGAAGTACTATGCACTTCGAAGGTACAAAGCACATACCATACCCACGGACACTGATTGCCAACTGATTAAGTGCGGATTGCATGGCTCGGGCATTATTGCACAGTAAGACAATATCATCCGCGTACTGAAAGCTGAGAAGTCTATCTCCAGGCAACAGATCCACACCACGATTAATTACATCCATCAGAGCTATTTCCAGAATGTCATCGATAGCAAATTTGAAAGGGAATGATGAGATTGAGCAACTCTGTCTAACCCCACTGCTCAAGTGGAACAATGGAGAGAGGTGGTTATATGCCCTCACTCTGCATGAGGTGTATGTATATAGGGCCTTTAGGATTTTAATAAACTTCTCAAGCACATTCTTCTTCAATAGACAATTCTAAAGAACAGTCCTGTCCAAAAAATTGAAGGCAGCCCTGATGTTTCCAACTCATTGGAACGCTCCGACCACCAGGCTTCTCGGTCCTTACGCAAGCTTTGCCCGACTTCCTTACGTAACATTTTTTGTTTGTTGTGAAACTCACGATCACCCGGAGTAGACCGACGGGCCTCAATGAGTCGTAAAGAGTCTGAAGAAACCCAGTGCTTATAAGCGGGACGTTTCGCGAAGTTGCAAGCGGCTTCACTCGCCATTTTCATGGCGACATGCAGTTACAACCAATGCTCATCTATACTTTTCAGTGGAATGGTAGCTAGCCTAGAAGCTAGCTCGGTTCGATACTTAGTTGCAACAGAAGTTGCAACGAGATTACTGACATCAATCTGTTTAGGACGATGAATTTGCCCACCACTGTAAAGTAAGATTAGCGCAAACAAGGGAATGATCAGAGTCCAGATAGGTACCCCAAAAGGAGCGGCGGTCTTGAACACAACCACCCCAGCGGTAGCTGATCGCGATGTGATCAACCTGAGTCCAGGATTGAGATGAGGAGGGAGGACGCCAGGTGGCATATCGGTGATGACTGCGCCGGAAGTTAGTGCTAGCTAGAAACAGGTTGTGGTCCCCGTTATCTGTCCCGTGGCCAACAAGCATACAATTTTCAACCAGGCAGTGACTCAAGAACGTTTAGACAGAACCGAGTTTCCACCATAGGCGAGCCGCTGTATAAGTTAAAACATAAGGATACACAAAGTGAGGAAGGAAGCGAGTGGATAAGTGACGCAGTACATGAAAAAATAAAAATGAACGTGGATTGTCTGAATTTTAATTGAAGCGAGAATAGTATTACCAGTATGCATTGTCATTTTATCTTATTTGTGTGTGGGCTGCCTTTTGGTTATGTAGTGGTTGGCGTTATGTATGATTCTACCCACCTAAGAAGAACAAATTTCAGATGTGCAACAAACATGGACATAAAGAAGGTCATTGTCCACCGAATCATACGTCCCAACCCAAGAAGAAATATAAACGTCGTCGACACACAATGAATCCAGCCATATCTAAAATCACATTCTCCGGTAGCATCTTTCCAAACAGACTATGACATTCGGAGGAAGTATGTGTGCCAATTTCTCAACAGGTTTAAACTCTGCATTAGTTGTATACCAGTATCCGTTAACAGACCTTGGAGATCCGTTTGCTAGCCTTAATGGTGAAACATGTTTCGTGAAAATGGGCTACTCAGATGCCTATCTGAAAGTGGAAATAGATTATTATTGCAGAGAGCTCCTGAATATCAACACTCATCGAGGGTTATTTCAATATATTCGTCTACCGTTTGGCATCACGATTACACCTACCATCTTTCAGCAAATGATAGATAAGATGTTAACAAGTATATCTGTGACAGCAGCTTATCTAGGTGATATCATAGTTATAGGTTCAACTGACAGTGACATTTCTGATCGAGTACATCAAGTACTTAAGTGAGTGATGGAGTATGGTTCCCAACTTCGTGAAGAAAAGTGTAACTTCTTCATTCATTCAATCAAATACTTTGATTTCATCTTAGATAGGAACGGTCACCGACCAGATCCTGCCAATCTAGAAGCCATTCAGAAGATTCCTGCATCAACTGATGTTCTTTCATTAAGATCATTCTAGGGATTAATTAGTCATTACATCACATTGCTGTCTGACATGCATCGAGAGGTCACCAGAATGAATTATCATCAAAAGGCAAACCTTGGCAGTGGTCAGTAAAATGTCAAGCATCTTTCAACAAGGTCAAATCAGTGCTCAGCTAAAAGCTTCTTTTAACACACCTCGATCTTAGCTTTGGAGTTGTCTTTACATCTGACCCTCTGGTCATGGAGTTGAAGCAGTGATATCTCACGTGTTTCCGAACAAATCAGAAAAGAAAATTGCTCATGCTGCTAGCACGACCGTTGCTGTTACCTTGAAGTGGTGGTCGAGCTTGCCTATCGTGATGAACCAATCGAGTTATACCGGCTGGAACAATCGTTCCTCAAGGTCTTACTATGCCAGACAGGTCTGTTGAAGAGCGGTAAGACTAAAAGCAGAAACCCCAAAGCCCATGGGTGTGGCGGCAGTAAGGTGTTTCCCTCAGACAACCAGCAAAACAGCAATGCTGCTTCCCCACAAAGAAGGGTGGAGTTGGAAAGGGTCGACCCTAAAAAAGCACACCTCGCCTTATCCCACTGACTTCTGTCTCCCGCAGCGAGGTCCCAACAAGTACAGAGCTAACACGAAAATTACTCAAAAACTGTCGTGTGTGACCGACCTCAAGCAGTTGTCCCTTGGACACTGCCGTCACACTCTCAGGTCACTAAGACCAGCTTTAATTCAATTTCCTTTTCAGGTACCTCCAGAAAAATCCTTCCACGGTGTGGGCAACCGGGAAGTGATAACTGCCCTCATACCCCTAACAGCACTCAAGATCATTGTATTCATAATCAATCTCCCTCTTCAATTCGTATTATTCCTCCTACCTCGACTTTCAACTCTAAACTTCCTCCTCAAGTGTCACCATGACCAACGATTCTAGTGCGCAAAATACTGTCCTAGGTCAACTGAAGCTTCGCTCTAAACTATGCATTGGAGTCTTCAACGTATGCATCCTGTGTCAAGTCGGCCAGCAGGCCTCCTGACTGAAACCCTATAATCTCGTATCATTGATGTGTGCTGTGTCTCCGAAACACGCATACAGGATCCTAGTGTGGTCATTCATTTAACCTCACCTCGCCAAAACGGTGAGCCGACGAGATACGCCCCCCGATGGCTAGTTCTGGCGGACTGGCAGGTGCAGACATAGCACTAAGTACAAGCTCAGAACAAGCACTATTAAAATGGATCCCCTTTAACAGTCGTCTATATGCTGTTCGGCTAAACGGCTCCATAAGAACTCGAAAAGAAGGACACACGTCGTTGCCTTTTCGTCGTTTCTGCCTACACTTACACTGACTGCAGCCCGGATCAAGTGAAGGATGACTTTTACAGAAAGTTTTCTGAAATTTTTCATAAAGCTAAGCACTCAGACAAAATGCTCGTATCAGGTGACTTTAATGCACATGTAGGTAGCTTAAACTAAACAGAAAGACATTAAGATGGGTATTACAGTATTCCGGTTCAGCGAACAGATAATGGTGATCGCCTGCTGCAACTGTGCTCAGACAATCGTTTATTTTTAGCAAACACAAATTTTAAGCATAAGGAGAGACATCGTCTAACATGGCGACCCCCTGCACCAAACCGACGATGGACTCAAATAGACCATATTGCCATCAGTCATTGTTGGAGAGGGTCGGTAGAAGATTGTCGCTCATTCTGGAGTACCTACTTGGACTCCAACCACGCCCTAATACGGCCACGCATCTGCTTGCGCCTCACTGGATGCAGAAAAACCACACTAAAAAGACCCATTAGCATTGAATTGAGTAATGAGAAAACCAAAAGTCTATTCCAGCAACAACTGAGGTCACACTTAGTTAGTTCTGAAAACGAGGCTGGCCCAGATGTTGCTTGGAAAGATATACAAACAGCTGTAGAAACAGCAGTGACATCTATTAGTGATTTAAACCAAAGGGTTACAAAAAATCAATGGATTTCTTTAAGGTCTCTTGCATTGATGGATTCTCGTAAATTCATCCCATCGGGCTCTTAACACTATGATGAGCGACAACAAATCAGATCTAGGCTAAGCAAAAGTCCAAGGAACGACCGTGAGCAGTCGTGGACAACGAAAGCAAAAGAGATGGAAAAGGCGGTGGCTGTATGTAACACTAGACAGCTTTAAAGACTAATAAAAGAAACTGGAATTAAGGAGTCAAATGTGAGACAATCTCGGAAAACGACAACATTCTTATCTGCTCTCAGCTCAGATGTTTAGAACGATGTGTGGAACACTTTAAGTAGTCCAGCTGGCCTTCAGCTACCTTATACAGCCACTCATCATTCCCAAACAGTCTGAATGGAACATTGAAGTAGACCCCCTACTCTAATTGAAGTTCAGAAAGCTATAGCTAATCTGAGACGAGGAAGAGCAGCTGGTCCAGATGGACTAACTCCAGATGTCTTTAAGTATGATGGTTCAGTTTTAGCGATTAGGTTGATTAATATTTTATATAAAATCTAGGGATTAGACGTAATCCTATCTGACTGGTCGCAATTACTGATCGTCCCAATATATAAGAAGGGGTCGAAATCATTCTGTGATAACCATAAAGGGAGTAGTTTGACAAATATAGTATCTAAAATACTAGCCTCGATAATTATCGGACGCCTAAGACTCGTGAACTGCAAACACGAGAAAATCAGGCTATCTTCAGACCTGGTCGTGGCTGCATCGACCACATATTCACCATTCGTCAGATCTTAGAACATAGGCATACTTATTGGCGTCCGATAATGATAGGTTTTCTTGACTTGGAAGCAACATTTGACTCTGTAGACCGAGAGTTTCTGTGGCAGTGTCTGTCATTCAAAGACATACCTCAGAAGTACATAAACCTTGTGAAGGCTCTTTACTCGAACACTACTAGTCGAGTCAGAGCTTATGGCGAACTGTCATCTGATTTTGCAACCTCAAGTGGTATCCGTCAAGGCTATTCACTTTCTCCATTTTTGTTCAACTTCATCATAGACCTACTGATGGAAATAACGCTCTGATCTAATGAATTTTCGGGCATTGATCCCCTTCCAGCAGGTCCACTTATTGACTTAGAATACTCAGATGATATAGTCCTGTTTGGTGAAGACGCTGATAAAATGCAGTCCTCTGGTAGCACTTAGCAACAATGCCAGAATGTTTGGGATGCGTTTATCCCTTTCTAAATGCAAGTTGTTGCTTCAGGACTGGTCTGCGTCAACACTTGAACTAAGGATAGGGAGTGAAGAAGTCGAAAGCGCTGACAACTTCACTTAACTTGGAAGTCTGATCAGCCCTAATGGCTTAGTGTCTGAAATATCTCTGCATGGATTCAGAAAGCTCGTTTGGCTTTTGCCCACTTACTTCACCTATGGAGAAGGCGAGATATCCATATATCAATAAAAGGACGAGTATACTGCGCGGCAGTCTGTTCTGTTTTAATTTACGGCAGCGAAACATGGCCATCAAGAGTAGAAGATACTAGTATTTGACCACAGATGCCTTAGAAATATTGCTGGCACCTGCTGGGATCATCGGGTAAGTAATAGGGAATGATGGTAAATCAGTTGATTAGGTTGTGAATCTTCATCGACTGAAATGGTTGTGCCACGTGTTACGTATGTCTGAACATCGATTAACATAACACGCAATACTGACTAGTATTGGGGATGGTTGGAAGAAAGTTAAGGGTGGTCAAACCAAAACGTGGCATCAGTGCTTGAAGTCATTAACTTCTAGTGTGAGCTATGTTGGTAGATGCCAACTACTTGGTTGGGGTCCGCGCGACTATCGTAACCAATGGTTAGAGACTCTGGGTGACATGGATCAGAATCGATCACAATGGCGTCGGTGTATACACTCTTTGTCTGCCCTTAAACCGTGAGACTAAAACTCCTTTATACCTTTACTTCTACGAAATAATTCCTTCATCTTGTATTACATCTCTATACGTAATCTTTCTTTTATATATTACTACCATTGAAGTAACTATTTATATGAATTTGGTGTTCATCTTGTTGTGCTAATAAGGTGTGGCAGCTTGGACCGATGCATATGTGTAAGTGGTTCTACGTTACAGTTGACTGACTGATTCATGCTGCTAGATCACTTACCCCAGCCGAGCGGAACTACAGTCAAATTGAAAAGGGTGTCCTTACTATCATTTTTGCTGTTAAAATGCACTACTGACAGATCACAAACCTTAAACTGCAATTTTCGGTTCTAATAAAGGAACCCCTATATGTACAGTTAGCAGACTACAACATTAGGCAACAATCTTTCTGGGCTAGGACTTCAACATCAAGTATCAGTCAGCAAACACTATAAGTCAGGCGAATCCTCTCACTCAATTGGTTGAAGTTCAACACCCTGTACTGGAGGACATGATCATTGACTCAGTAGCAATAGATCCAGAAATAAGGTGTGTAGTAGCAGATGGCATTCGAAACACTCCAGTGTCATCAGTTGAAGTCAGAGAAGAAACTCTTCGAGACCCAGTCTTACAAGAAGTTAAAAAGTTCCATCTAGAAGGGCGGCTCTCGAAGGTGAGTTACACAGAGCTTCAGCAGTTTTACTAACCCAGACTACCTCAATTATCGATGAATGCCTTCTGTTTGCCGAACGTGTCGTAATCCCAAAGAGGCTGCAACCGGTAGTGCGTGGACAATCGCACGCAGGACATCCTGGGATAAATCGCATGAAAGCACTAGCACGAAGTTACGTATACTAGCAGGATTTAGACACCCAACTGGAGCATCTATCCCGGTAATGTACCAAATGTGCATTAGCAAAACCACAGTCACTGTGGCAATGTATACACTTGGACTTAGTTGGTCCACTTCATGGACAAACTTACCTTTTGGCAGTTGATGCATACAGCAAGTGGCCAGAGATTTTTCTTAGGAAACATCCAACTGTAAGCTGCACAGTCAGAAAACCACGTCAACTATTTAGTCACTCCGGGGCTCCATAACTAATAGTTAGCGACAGTGGAACACAATTTACATCCGCTATCTTCCCAGAATGCTGTAGGCAGAATGGAATCAGTAATGTCCGAACACCTCCATTCCATCCGCAATCCAAAGGCCAAGTAGAACGCTTTGTTGGTACATTTAGAACGGTGTACAAAAATAAAAGTGAGAGTGGACCACTGAAGAGATTCGACAGAGGATCCTGTCAACCTGTTGTTCTACAACAAATCCTCAGACAATTAACGGGGTCTCTCCAGCAGAGGCTTTACTCGGCGGAAAAATACGAACATATTTTGGTGTCATTCACCTAACACAAGCTCTTGAGCCCCAACGCAATTCAATAGACATTATGGGGTACAAAGACGTTTGCTCACTGTGGGTCAAAACGTACTTGCTATGGACCATTGTGGTAAACATCTTACATGGAAAAATGGTCGAATCGTTCAAAAAAAGAAGTGTGGTTTACGAGGTGTCAGTTAGCTCAGAAGTTTTTGTGAGTCATGCTAACCAACTAAAAGCAACTCCGATCGCCAGCAACGAGACCCAACGTAGGACACCTCGTGATGTTCTGATGGACACCTTTGAAATCGAAACCGCTGAAATGGACAGGTCGGTTTCCGTGCAAGCAGAGTGACACCACTTCTTTATCGCCTAGAAGATGGACAAATCGAAAACACAGACCGGTCACGCGGTTGCAGGTAGACCTTAACACCAGATCCTATGAATCTGTTCAAAGGGGAGGAGCTGGCAGGACATAGATTAGATCAAAACATGTCCCGTGAAGGATTGTGTTGAGACACACTGACTGGTCATTTCTTAGCTAATCAGCGTTAGCGAATACTTGGGGACGACTCTGGAATATTCTTGTGTAAAGATTATAAATATATTAAAGTTTTTCTTATTGCGTTTCCTACTTCCATTAAACCTTGTTTATTTGGAATATAATTTTGTTCTTGTTCAACCATGTTCTGATTTAGAGACTTGTCGAGTGAAGTAGTGTCCAAATAATACTAAGTAATAAAAGTAGCTGGGTTGACATAAGAGAGATTATCATAACACTCAGAAACTATGTAACCAGACAATTCGACTGGTAAATAAAAGACTATAATGCATAACCATTGAACTTATTTACTGTTCTGAGTACACCACAGTAGCCAATAAATCAACTATTTTAGCAAAAACTAATCAACAGTCAATCACAAAAAATCCCTGCAATCCAACAATTGTGATAGACAATCTGAACCCACAGAGGTAATTTGCTTATCTATCATTATAGAACATATGATGCTAGTTAGTCAATGGCTTTTTAAAGTAATAACCCACATCAGCTCACTATTGATCATCAAGTCAAATATTAATGCTCACCCGCAAATGTGTAGTATCTATGTTATGTAGAAAGCAAACAAGATAATACGAATATAGCGAGTGAAAAAATTACACAAGTCATAATACTATACTAAAATACGAAATGAGGTATTTCAAAAGTGTTAGAACAACATACCTTCTTTATTACCAACTCAGCTGACTGATCGATGGCACTAGCTAATTCTGGAGCTCGACCAGTGTAACTTAAAAACAACCACGTGAACAATGAGATTAAAGCAATATAAAATGGTAGGGCCAATATACCCGAAACCATTGATAAACCAATAAATTCTGATATTCCTGTAACAATATGGAAAATTAGTAGAACAACAGCCAAAACAGCAGGAGTACGAAATGTCTGAAAATGGGATAGAAAAAGGTGGATAATTGTGCGAAGGTAAAGCCAGTGGACATACAGACAGTAGTTACGAACTATAAGCTTAACAGCAGGTATCCTACCTTATGTCTGAGACGGTAAAACCTAAAGGAACGAGTGTTTCAGCCAATATAACTGGATGGGGTTATCACGATGCTCAATCTACACCACAACATCGAGGTAGCGACTAAGGTAGGAATTTACAGTATGCAACGTTTCAGCCTTAAATTAATTAACATGCATTGCAGCATGTTATTCTCCAAACTTTGTAGGCCAGTCACTTACAAACGGTAATTTAGCGCAATTAAAACAACAGACACTACCGTCACTTCGAATCAATTATTATGTATTTTCGTTTATCTAGTGTGGAGACTTGGGCTGGCAAATATTTGTCCCACGTCATGTTTTTGACTGGCAGACTACAGAATCAAGACAGCAGTTAAAATGGATAAGCGCTCTTCTACCATGTACCAGTGAGTTTCAATCAGAAAATGCAGTAAACTCATTGTCGATTAATAACTTAATTCCTTTCTTAATTTTTGACTTTCATGTATTGGCTAATTTTTTGGACTAATGTACTATTCTGTGATCTATATAAATATGGTGAACTAGACTATAACATCAGGCCAGACAGAAAATATGTGAATTATTCAATGAATCAGATTAGCAATTAACGAGTGAGCTGAATGCAAATTAATCACGATTTTACTGATTGACGATTTTTTGATATTTTATCTAATAGTAGATTTAAAAGAATTATTCTGAAACATAAAATGGAATTCCGGATTTAAACACTGAATGTGACTCAGTGGCCGAGGAAAGACCTGTGAGCTTAGCTTCGAGATTGGAACGGGGTTAGAACACTAACCACTCGCATACATAGAAGTAAATGAGGCAAAATTTGAACCTAGAACTAAGTGATCCAAAGCCAAGTTGCCTGACTAGCAAGCCCACCACTTTATTTAGGCATTTATTCTATACCCACAAAGTTTAAAAAGTCAAACGAAAAAAGGTTTTGAACCTATTAAAATCTGTCACCTGACTACTGAAAATACTTTGAAAATCAGATATACACAAACCTACCTGGAATATATCCTTTTTAGAATTTGACATCCGATAATCTTCTCCCAGTTGTTTTAATGTTTCTTTTAAGCGTTCCAAATAACCTGCAGAGAATGCCTCACCACCCATTTTGGGAATTGTGTTAAATTTTTCAATAGCCGCCTTATATATTTTTAAATGAGCTAAATCTAAATCAGTAGGATTGATGTACGGCCGATCGGGTCCACAAATCTACGATAAAGGAAAAGGAATAAATTGTAGTATACTGAATGGAACCTTAAGTAGATAATATATGTCTTTCGATGTTCTATAACATCATTGGACATTTGTTTTCTGAGAATAGAGAATACTTAAATTTAGGCATTTTACTATAATCTAACGCAATTGCTCTACTACACTCTAGTATACCACTAAGCTGTTTGCATAAGAATACGTCACGGAACGACAAAAACATTGTTTCTCCTGACAGGTAGAGGAAACTACTCACTACTATGCATAAATCCAGAACTCAAACAAGTCCCTTTTCAAGTCACTAGGTGATCTATTTAATGATGGAACAATTCAAATCCAGTTTTAATGAATAATATAACAAAAAAAATATCTTACAAAAATAATTTACAGCTGACCTGAATTACGGGCATGTATAAAATAGCCTAGGTGACAAATCACAACTATACCACACTGATGATTAGGAAAAAACATTCTTTACCTTGTTCATAGCCTCTGAATACATCTCTTGACATGTTAATATTGCATTAAGGTTGTTAGCCTCGGCAGTTGCTTCCAACATAGAACGTGGTTCTGGGAGAGTATCACTTTCATAAATTTTTATATATGCTTTGAAATAAGTAAAAAGTTCACGACACGTAACTTCCTGACCATTTATCCTTTTAACAACCAGATTAACTGGAGCTAACAAATGAGGAACTAATGCTATAAGGTTTTCAACGAAACTAGGATCAATATCCTTTACTCGTCCATCAAAGTTTGGATTTGTTGAAACTTTAAGACCGGGATGAGGCATTAGGAAACAATCTAACTTGGAAAAACAAGAGCGAATATGACGGCGGACAGCTTGGTGCTCTGTGTGATGCTGTTGAACAATCTGGAAGAAAACAAAGTGGTCATGAAGCAAACACAAATTACAAAACAGGTAGTTGCACATTGACAGGTTGTCAGTTATGGAAACATATAGTAAGACCTGTACCTTGCACGAATAGCTCATTTGTTGAGATTTATGAACTACCCATAACTCTATGTATCTCGTAGGTTTCAACTCACTAACAGAATGAACGATCACTTTCGTAGAAAAAAAGATTTGTGTAGTTTCGATTTGCAGTCCAAACTATCAGAACGAAATAAATCTGATCGAAACAATATTTTTAGTTTAAATATAACAAAGATTATAAATATTCTTCAATACCTGATGAGTGAATATCAAAATACAAAAAATCCTATTTTAGGGTATCGGGTATAAACCTAACCAATCGGAAATTTTACTAGGCTAGGGACTGATTTCAGTAACGTTTCGCGACTGGCTGAGGTTGAGAAGCTTATGTTGGACCATTATCAGCATCAAAACTTTAAAAAATTCAATATGTTCTACATTTCAACGAAATTGGAATGTTCAGTCGTTGAAACAACATGAGGTAAATACGGCCCACGAAATGTTCACACATATGAGAACCATATATTAAGTATGACTTTGCTTTTCCTAGTGTGGTATGAACATACGAGTCTGAACCCAAAATTTCTTGTCGGGACAATATAGTTGTTTTTATTATGGAGTGATTAAATGTGATGCGCACTGATTATAGAATCGAATTACAATTTACTGATAAACATCAGGGGATAATAAAATAGTTATGATATGTATAACTAAGAAGTACTGATAGTATTATATATTCATTTGTGAATAGGTTCCGGATGAAACAAGAGATCAAATATCATGCAATAAACAGGTTGTCAGACTAGTATGTGGCGTAAATAACAAGTTTCACATTCACTTTTGATCCTATCACCTGTCCGAAGGTATAAATAGTGCAGAATATTTGGTATTGTTAAGTTTAGAAAACAACACGTAATCTTGGATTCATAAACAGAATTTGTTGAAAGTTATGGTGTTGAACAGATTGATAGTTAGCGCTTTTTATAACCGATAGGACAAAGTTTAGTTTCGACTAACTAGTTGTAAACACTTAGGCCTCCATTAATTTGTGATTTTCATCATGGCACTAGCAAATATGTGAATATATTCTGAATGAATTAAAGTATTACAAAGATTTAGGAGTTCTCTTCAAAGCATGTTGCTAGAAACAGAGCGGATACGGTTAAAACTGATTATTATAGAGATACAATTTGTGTAGTGAGAGTTCAGAACACAAGCTAAGATGAAATGAATGAATTTACTGATTCCCCGTGACATTGTTACTGTATAAACAGTGTATGTTATTAAAATGTTCATATGGTTAACTCAGCCTTGTTACTTGGGCTTTAACTAAATCGGTATATAAATATTTGTTAAGTTTCGGAAGCATTTCTCTTATATTAATCAAACACAATTAGTAAGCATGTAAGGTGAAACTAAGAACACGTAGGTAACTTTGAATTATATGGCTTGCTGCCAAACAGCACATCCAAACATACCATAATTGTCTGACATCAACTTGAAGAAGCAACCTACTTATTGAGTAAAACCCATTGACATCTGATAAACAGAGTGAGATCTGGTTTATCGGTGATACTTGAAGTATCCTTGTAATACTTTCCCAATGAAATCAGACTGAACGGGAAGACCAAGTGAATATGAGACTCCATACATCATGATAACAAAACGAAATTTCCAAGATTTTTGTAGCAATAATATATGTTGTGAATTACCTTGAGGCGATTATCAAGCAGTTGAGTACCACCACTATTCCCGAAGTCATACTCGTACGGGAAACTCCAATCGCGAACAAGGAATAAAAGATGCTAGGTATAAAAAAGTACAAAGACATAGACAATAGAGCGGAATGATGTGATAACAAAACCTTTATAATACATGTAAGAAGATCACCGTCTAAAAACGATGAAGTAGAATCAATTCAGTCCTCTTATACTCTAGGAACGAGTGGTGATTTACAACGGAAGTAACCGGTCAACTAGATACCCCGAAATGCCCTGGTATGATCGAGGGTGGGGACGGTCAGCTCTCCCTCTAGGAGTGCTCTCATATGGCCATGCGTATACAGCTACTATTAGGGAAGTTCTACTCACTGCCTTGTTGCGGTGTGGTGTCCTTTACAAAATTGAGGACGAAAAGCGAATATTCAACGCTTTAACCGGGTTGGTGGATATAGAGAATCCACCTAAGGGAGTTGGAAAACCCTGATTCCAAACCAATAGTTCACATGGGCTACAGAAACCGGAATAAACACATGGTATGTGAACCTATTGTTGGTTACCGGCTATCGTGGGACTGCATCTCCCCACGTTGCTCCATTGCCTTGTGGATTAGTCTTCTAGGTCAAAAGCTCGGGGAGTGGCAGTCTAAGAAAACCACATGCTTTGGTTTCGGCACGCGGGCAGTATCCCAGCACTTATACAACGAATTTGTGTGGCGCATATATATTTGGTGCCTCCTTGTACAAATTTCTATGTAAATAAATAAATAAATACTAGGCTGCAGGCTATGTTGTGTGGCAAAGTAATTAGAAGGAAAGGACCTCTCAAGATAGAGAAAATCCGAACTGGTGACCGCTGGTTGGCAACGAAACAGAAAGTATTAAAGATGAGAATATAGTCAACTTGCTGTAATGAGCATAAAACGTATAACGCAGAGAAAGAAAGCAAGCGATGACAGGAAAAACACATTCCTAATTAGCAGGGAGTTACATTATCTAGATATGATGACCAGTGGTTTTACAAACTTTCATGCTTTATCATTACTACCCCTTATTAGTTTTCCTCTTGGCCATTTAAAACAATCAAATGACCACTTTTATCTGCAAGTTGATTGCGAGAATGTCTGACCTCATTGTTACACTACATGACCATGATACTACCGATTACCTGTTTATAAAACCCATTTCACAAGAATGAGAATCACCGAGCATGAGTGAAGTTATTACAGAAACTATAAAGGGTTGATTACAAGCTAGGTAACATCTAGACACTCAGTTGCAACTACATAGGAAATGTGTGTTACATTGCGCTGTAAATACTGCATGAATTAAACTTTTTCAAGCCGCTTACCTGGAAAGGTGTTCCAGAAATATCAGATTCCAGGGCAAGTCGACCATATTCGGTGAATAAATGCAAATGCTGAAGGTGATCTTCTTGAATATTACCATGAATGTTATAAACTTGAGTACTACTGATCATTGTACTCAAAGCGAAAACTGTAGCACACTGACGCACAGTACTAGTGCTATCAAAGGAACCCTTAAAAGTAAAAGAGTAAGGAGAATATCTACAAACCTGTGTATCCATTAACAGAACGACTACTTCCTCTCCAGATGGTAGAGTCATAAAGAATGGTTCGCTCCATAACAATATTCCAACAGTGTCTCTCTCTGAACCACCTCGCCAGGGGAAGCCCTTCAAAGGTATTTCCGGGTCTCCTAACCAGTTAGTACGGTCATTGGATAACAAATAGCGTAAGAAAAAATCCAGTAAAAACGATTTTCCTTGACGAAACGCACCAGCGACAGACACTACAACAACTTTTTTGTCACGCACATCTGGTCTTAAAAGAATTGAAGACAAAGACTCTTCATCTAGACTGAATGATGTTTTCTTCATACATTCTTCAACATTTATAATTTGAACTGCACGTCCACCCGCGGCAACCATCCTCGACCCAAAAGTAACGCACAATTGGTGATCTCCGCCTAATACTACATATTCAGTCTTCAATACCAGTGTTGACCAAAAAAACCAATCATAGAAATTATAATCACAAAAATTGCAGACGTAAGTAAAATCTAGATGTATGAATGAACCACTCATAGTTTATTTTCACTTTTTAGTCAGTCATAAAAATGAAGGATCTTTTCTCTATAAACCAGTGGCAATTACTCTGATCTATAATATGAGACTTGAAATGCTTAAAAAACTTCATCATGAGACGCCTAATACGGGTCGTAATTTAGCCGCGACATAGACTTTCTTGAAGTTTGTTTCACAAGCCCGTAAGGATAGCGAAAACATTTGATATCCGATTGGTTAGGTTCTCGAGGTAGATAGAATATTTTCTCTAGTTAGCAGACCGCGAACTAATATGATAAATTAAGAACCGATTAATTCCAAAGAGTGAGGTGCATCATCTACAGACCTACAGATGAAGACAAGTTGAAACCTAATACATCTGATTCAAAACGGTTTTAACTTGAGTTGGAGAAATCTTGGGTGATAATAATTATCGTCAGAATACTCTTGAGGATGCCACAGGTATTTGGAGTTTGACGACACTTGAACCAGTAACACCTAATATGAAACTTGCCCACCAAGTGAAATCAAAAGACAGAAGCGAGGAGGTTCGAAGATATATTTGGTAGCTATCAACATATCAATGATCGACTGATCTAGACTAGCTAGTGATTGCAGGCGATGTTGAGCACGGCGTTCCCACCCGTGATCTGGTGCGGATGCATGACCAAGCACCATCAGCTAGGTGAGTCCATTGAAACCAACGTGATCAGCATCCAATGTCGAAGACTTATAGAGCTATTTATTTTGGTGATTTATTTACCGCTATAGATCACCCTCCTTAATGAGACGGTGATGACCCAAAGACGTGGCCAACAAGAAGTTTAAACTCAAGGATTTTGTCGCTGGTAAACACTCTTCTGATAGCTTGCTAGGTTAAGCAGCGTCTGGTTGTCTTTCCCTACTATAACGGACAATGTGGTACAACATAGTAATAAAGAAACACGGTAGAATTAAAATTTCGGGTCATCGTAAATTTCGTCGTTCTTTTTATTGTCTTTCCCAGCGTCCTGTTAAAGAAAAAAAGAATATGTAAGTGCATGTGAAAATACACATGTACGCACGTAAAAACACTAAGAGGGCGAAAAAATGTGAAACTCATGCACATGCGAAAGCCTAAATAAACCGTTTTTACAGAAATTTCAAAATTTTTAATACACCCATGGCAAAAAAATTGTTCTTTTCCATAAATATATAAAATAGGCATATTAGAATTGGCTTTTTACATTATATATGATACAAAGAAAAATCGATACGAAACAAAATGTAAACTGGTGTGCAATAAACGTCTGAATGTACTGGAAACTTCACTCTTCTTCCAGAACGCGTTGTTTTAAGTTTATTTTCTGATACTGCCAAAGTATCATCGTGTGTTGGCTGTCGGTTGAGTTAGTATATGTGTGAGAGTCACGTCTTTCGGTTGTACCGAGGGAAAACTGACATGGATAGGGTTTCATTCTAGATACGCTGCTTTGAATCGATCGGTGCTGATGCTATCGTTGATTCCGTCCTTATCGACCATATAGTACCTAGGTTCGCGCTGAAGAACTTTGAAGGGTCATTCGTATGTTGATTCGAGAGGTCATCGATATGAGTCTCGACGAACGAAGACTTGTGTACTATATCGTGAGTCTAGTTGAACGTAAGCATCAGTTGATAACGGTCGAGTGAAAACAGGTTTAACTGAACGCATTGCATTTGTAAGCCTGCTCGTGTGGGAGGTTAGATCCATGTTCACTGAAGAAGATGAAGGATTCAGGAAGTATCCTGGAAGTCGAAATGTTGTTCCATAAACGAGTTGGACTGCAGTGTATCCAATGTCAGCTTTCACTGCATTGCCAATACCTAATAAGACGAGTGGATGGGCATCAGTCCACTGAGAAATGTTTGCAGCCGATAGTGGAGATTTTAGTTGTCTGTGAAAGCGTTCTACTAACCCGTTTGCTTGTGGGTGGTAGGCGGTCGTTCGGAAGCGAGTGAGTCCTAATAGTGTGGTCAGACAACGAAAAAGTTCAGATTCGAACTGGCGTCCACGATCTGTAGTGATGGTTGAAGGGCAGCCGAAGTTTGCTTCCCATCGTTCGTCGAAGGCGCGGGCCACTGTTTCAGCAGTGATGTCCTTGATAGGTACTGCCTCTGGCCATCGAGTGAAAAGGTCTACGCAGGTTAAGAGATAAGAGTATCCATTTGAATCTGGTAAAGGTCCTACCAAATTCAGATGAACATGGTCGAAACAAGCATCGGGAATTTTAAATGAACCTAAGGGAAATTTGTTGTGTCTAATCACCTTAGACTTTTGGCAGCTTACATAGGAGCGTGCCCACTCCCTCACGTCTTTATTCATGCCAGGCCAGCAAAACAGTTCTGCTATAAGCTTGATGGTTTCATGAAAACCTGGATGAGAAAGATTGTGCAACGTATTGAAGACATTACGTCGATAATGTTTCGGCACGATTGGACGATCCCTATTTGTAGATGTGTCAAATAGTAAGGTTTCCTTACCTGTTCCCATCTGCTTGACGCACAGTTTAAGGGTTGTTGAGGATAACTCGTGCTGAAATCAGTGTCTTCTTTTTGAAGCCGGGTGAGTTTAATAAGTTCGATTCCTTGGAAACTGTTCAAGGAAGTCATGCGAGACAAAGAGTCTGCAACTACTTTGTTTGCTCCAGAGATGTGTTGAATGTCTGAAGTAAACTGCGAAATGTAGTCCAGTTGTCGAGACTCATGGAGAGAGTACTTGTCTGAAGTAAAGCTTAGAGAGAAGTTGAGTGGTTTATGGTCAGTGAAAAAAGTGAATTCACGGCCTTCGATATAATGTTGAAAATGCCGTACAGCACAATACATAGATAGGAGTTCCCTACGAATGTGCTGTACCTCGATTCGGTGTTTAACAACCGTCTAATGAAAAATGCCAAAGGTTGCCAGGAGTTGTTAACCCATTGTTGTAAGACCCCTCCGACTGCTGAGTTGGATGTGTTTATTGTGATGCTAATGGGTGCTTCAGTGTCCTGATGAGCAAGCATTGTTGCTCTAGCGATAGGTTCCTTAATTATGGAGAATGCTTTTCGTGCAGTGTCGTCCAGACTGATGGATTTTGCATTTCCACGAAGTTGATCGGTAAGAAGCTTCATAAGCGATGCGCATTTCGGTATGAAACGTCTATAGAAACTTACCAGGTCGTTAAACGTCCGTAATTGCTTGATGGTGGTCGGTTCCGGGTAATCCAGAATGACCGCCACTTTGGTTCTAAGAGGTCGAATGCCTTGAGCATTGATGGTGTGTCCTAGAAAGTCTAATGAGTCAGCTCCGATTTGGCATTTTCGAATGTTTACAGTAATGCCATGTTTTTGTAGTCGGTCGAAAACAAGATCCAGATGCTGGAGATGCGATTTTCTGTCCGTACTTGCGATTAGGCAGTCGTCAACATATGCATGTACGAAACTGAGACCTCAAACAACGTCAACTATGAACCGTTGGAATGTTTAAGCAGCGTTTTAGACCGAAAGGCATTCGCGAGAATTCGTAGAGTCCAAAGGGAGTAATGATAGCTGTTTTCGGTACATCGTCTGTAGCCATAGGGATTTGGCTAAACGCTTTAACCAAATCGACTTTGGAAAAGACAGTTGTACCTTTCAAGGTAGCTGTCAAATCATGAATGTGAGGCAACGGGTAACGATCGAGAATGGTTTTTGCATTCAATCGCCAATAGTCACCAGTTGGACGCCAATCGTTGCTGTCCTTTTTAGGGACCATGTGCAATGCGTATGGGCTACTTGACGGCCGTATGATTCCTAACTATATCGTGTGGTCGGACTCGTTTTTCGCCAGCCTTAGCTTTTCGGGGGCTAGTCGGCGTGCTTAAGAGAATATAGGTGGTCCTGTAGTCGTGATGTGATGTGTGAAGGTCCATACCAATGATTGGTAGAGAAACATCTGCAACAACGAAGATCCAGTGAATGGATTTGCGTAAACCCACGTCAAGGTAAACGTACATTTTGCCATATGTAGCGATAGGTTTTCCGTTCGTTGAACGTAAGTTTAAAGCCGATTCGTGAAGCCAGTCATTAGGATTCGCTGGGAGAACGCTAACTTCTGCGCCAGTGTCGACGAGGTAGCGAGTTCTCGCTGTCACATCTGTGATGTATAACAGACGGCTATGTTCGCCGGTTACGGTTTCCGTCAACGCGTGCCGGCTTGGAAGTTTCCCCAGTTGTTTTTCCAGTCGGTCGGTTTTGAGTTGGGAAAATTGCAGGGTTTTCTGCAAATTTTGGAAGACTTTCCATACTGGTTATGATACCATCACCATTCGGGATTATCCGTCTCTCGTGGTCTAGAGACAGATCACTCACATGAGGTGCTTCTACGTGGGGTGTGTGGTCGTTTACGGTCGTTACGAAAATTAAGATAACGCGTAAGTGTATGACATAGCTCAGTTATGTCATTCTGGGTCCTTTGAAGCTTTTCTTTGACTGAAAAAACCTCGGTATTAGATTTTGTGATTTCTAAAATGCGGTCGGCAGATGCAGCCAGCTCGTCCAAGGCGTGGTAGTGGAACGAGACAAACACAGCTTGCACCTGTTGAGGAAGTTTCGTCAAGGAAAGTTGTTTAAATAGGCCATCATCGAAAGTTCGTTGACCGATAACCTCTCTCATTCGTTGCACCATGCAGGTCGATGTTATTGAGGAGTTGGTTTATGGGTTAGGTCCCCGCGTTTAAGAATAGAACGTTTCAGCGTTTCGTAAGGTTCAGAAACATCACTAGAAAACATACTAGGTGTTAAGTACCTGTTGAATTGGCGCGGTAGTGCCATGACTACTGCGAGGAATTGTGCACGTGTGTCGATCGTGCCGTGCTCGGAGAAGTCGGCTTCCGCGTAGCAGAACCAGGCTTCGATGTTGTCTGGCCAGAAGGGCATCAGTTGAAACGAAGGTGGGGACAAAGTCTTAAGCTTAAATACTTTGGGCGTCTGTTCAGTCATGATGAAATATGAAGTACGATAATGAACAATGGAAAAAATATATATATTACAAAAGCACGAAAAAATATCACAATGTATAAAAATTAAGATGAAGCAATGATATATAGAATCCCGAAAAGGAACAGACTCACAGTTTACGATTTGGTGTACCATATCACGTTAGGCTCAGAAATGAAGATGTTACAGGTATTCAGTGTTTGACAACGCTTTTACCAGTAACACCTTCTAATATAACTCGTACCCACCAAGAGAAATCAAAAAACAGAATTGAGGAGATTGGAAGATATATTTGATGTCATATCAATATATCGAGAATCGTCTGATCTAATCGGGCTAGCGATTGCAATAGATGTTGATCACGGCGTGCCCACTCGTGATCTGGTGCGAATGAGTGACCGAGCGCCTTCAGCTAGGTGAGTCCATTAAAACTGTAGCTTGGTGTCGAATCCCAGTTGACTATGAACACCACTACAAAGGAACGCGTACCAGGATATCCATAAGACCCCCTGGAAGCCAAATATCAGGAGGCAGTTAATGGACCAAGTCGAGATATATTTGCTGGCGATCTCGTGGTATCGAAATACCGAGATTGTGTCAGGATATATGCTTGGTTACTGAGCGTAGCCGGTTTCGCGCGAGGTCACAGTCGAAGTAAGTATAATGGATGTTTTTAGCACAGTTAAACAAAGAGCACATTAAAACAAGCACAGGTACAACAGGTTATAATAATAATTGTTTTCATTAAATTAATCGTGTTCTCGTGATACAAGTCATTAGAAAACATACGGTCAGCATCCAATGTCGAAAACTTTCAGGGCTATTTATTTTGGGGATTTATTTACCGCTACAACACTAAAAATGGGTTAGGATAAATTAAAACTTGCTTTTACGTGAAAAACTGAAGGAAAAACCGAATAGTAAGCTGAGGCAAAACCAGTTAACTATCAAATTGAGTGAAATTTGAAAGAAAGAATTTATAGAACGTGTAGTTCAAAGTAGATCATTTAGATTAGAAATGGCACTTTTCTTGCTTAATAGTACAGCAAATGTTTGAGAAATGCAAATCACGTTAGGACTAAACTTCCTGCTCGAAAAGCGTTTATCATTAAAGTAGCGGAAAACTTGTATGGCATCTTATAAAAGCTTTTCAACTGTGCGGTTTTGTTTAACATTCTGTGCATCTCCATTAACAGCGTATTCTCCCATAGTGGAAGCTTCGTTCTTGGTGGCAAATTACCGCCTTAGTGTAATGTAATTGTACATATGGTGTCAAAATCCCTGTTGTGCCCTTAAATTTAAGACCGTGTCCATGAAAAACCGGATAGTCAAAAAAATTTCCAGGATTCTTATGATCGACTTTTTTAACTATCAGAGATTAAAATCAGTTACATTGCTAATCTTCACGCGCTTGGATCTAATTATGCGCTCCAATGTAGTGTGTGTGAGGTTATCGGTTCTCTAGGTGAGATATTTTGTGGATGATTTCTAATATGGTTGCGGCTTTTGTCTTCTGTAAACTTCCATTAACGAGTGGTAATTATTCTTGCTTTTAATAATGTGAATACAAGGAATTCACCATTAACCTAGTATATCAAGATGAGTCATCATTAAGTGTAAATATCGTTAAAGACGAGGAGTCATTGATCACCAAATATTTAATCTTATATGGTATCTTGTCTTTTTCCAAAGGGCTCAACAGTCTCAACGAAATTTTCGCACTTTACTTTCAACTTTTTAGACAAAGTGCTAATTTCAGTTTGGAAAGGACAGGAGGCTTGATGGCATGTGTTAGTCTTAGCAGTCATGGTCTTTCAGTTGATCCAACTTTCTGTTGAAAGAGTTGATAAGAAAGTCGATAGCCAGCTGATAAGTAATTTGTTCTGGGCTTGTGAACTTTTTTCGAGTGTCCTCATAAATTCTCTGTTTTGGAAGACAAGAAAAATGTGGGCATATCAGGTGCAGATTTACCACTAAGCAATTTGAAAACGGTAATCAAGTCACCTATGGTTCTCCTATACGACGACGGGAATAGGTTTAGTTTAACCAGTCGAGCATCATGCGGGAGCTTCGCTATTCCGGGAATTAGCTTGGTTGTTGTCCTCTGAATCTTTTCCAAAATCTCACTGTCTTTTCTTAAGCAGAGGCTAGCCGCTTGTATGCAGTACTCAAGTTTGAGACGCTTGGACATGAAATTAAAAATGTTTTAGCGTCGACATGACTAATGGCCCTACGCATTGACCATAGGGTTTTTAAATCTTTGGCGGCTATCGCACGGCAGTGTGCAGTAGTCTTGGCTAACGATGTTCCCTAAGCCATTTTGTGTCTGGACAACAGGTAACTCGATGTTACTCATCATGTATGTATCTATACCTTTATGACCGATATGCATCACAATACACTTGGGAGTATTTGTCAGTAACTGTCGGGTTTGAGACCATTTAAATAATTTCTCCAGGTCATTTTAAAGTTCTAAGCTATCACCCTTATCGTTCTACATATCTTGACATCGTCAGCATATAGCAAGACCGATGGTGATAGACGGGGAAGGTCATTTACATAAAAGAGGAAATAAAATCATAGCTAACTTGATGCAAATAACCATCTGGTTTTTTAGGACTATCTAAGTATTTTGACGCAGCCATCCAGGATCGCTGATGGTACTGGTTGTTGCACTGAAGATTTTGAATAGCTATATGGTGTTGCAAACCTTTATTATATCTATCGGGGTATATTTTGCACTGAAGCAACCATGGCCTGTCCCGAGATTATACTGGTTAGAGGACAAGCAAGCTGAAAATTATGATTAAAAAGACTAAAAGGTAAGAGTGTGAGTTTCATGAAACTTAGTCCGAGACTGATTTCTAAACACTCAATGTCATTTATACTATTTCTCCTCTCCTGAATGAAACTAAACTACATTTATCAGACGCGCATGTCCCTAGTTTTATCTCGGGTTTGTGATGAAAACATTTAGTTATTCTTTAAACAATGGTTAATTAGCTAGTGTTATCAACATTTTTTGTTTCAGTGATGTCGACCTATGTAGACATCTCTACTGTGTTCAATTTCGACCACAGAGGTCAATATGTTGAAATTTCCCCCGATAGAACGAAAGCTCGTCGTCAAATAGGTTTTTGTGATGGGGTAGTTATTTCTCAAAGCTTCATCCGACCAGGCGAAGTGGTAGCTGTCGAAATTACAGAAACACAGCGAGGTTGGACTGGGGATTTGAGAGTCGGATTCACTTTACTACCGGATAACTTGCTCTTGCCTCTTCCCAGGTAAAGTGACATAGTCTGTTGAGTAACTTAATCATGTTTGTCGTGTGTGAAATTATTAACATAGTTTTCAACAGCCTTACGGTGCTATATCGCCACTAGTTGTTTTTCGTAGTATGTAAATGGGTTTTATTTTCGTAGAAAAGTCTGTGTGACTAAGATTCCGGTGTACATCATGTTTCTATAAAAACAATAAAAGCAATAATCAAATGAACAAAATCCCATTTACTTCCCTTGCTTTATCTGTAATTCCATGTAAATATCAGAAATCAATGGTGATTTACAGATTTTTATTATGTATGAGTCCCAAGGAATGATTTATTTGATATTGGCTGGTAATATTTTGTGAGTCAAAGGTATCAGTAATGATTAGTTTGATATAAAAGAGAATCGGTGTAACGCTTTATAGTTTGTGGCTTAGGGATTGAGGAAGTACTGGCTGAGAGTGATTAATATCGGATAAACCAGTATGGTAAATCATGGCGTGATACCCTTGTTCGATAATTACTCGTCTTTCTACTACACATTGAAATCTTGTAATCGGTAGATTTCGTAGCATACAACTATTTTTCTGTCTTCAACCCAAGAATGCAATCACTATAGTATTATCAATAACGTTTCTAGTGAAAATAACTTAAGAATAATATATGTGATTACCTTTACTTGTTTTGACATGGATTTGAACAAATTAGACGAGTGTGAAAAGTAGAAGTAGACTTTTCAAGGTACTTTTTCCAAAAACTAAGCATGTTGACTCCGTTTCGTAACCATACTTGTAACGATTTATTTGACCATTCATAACTAGAAACATCTGATTTCCACTAAGTTCACTTCATCTATGAGTTAAAGGGAATAGCTACATTTACCTATGAAAAGGGAGAAATGCATATAAGTTGCAGAACTATTTCCCTAAGTGAAATTAGCGTCTTAAAGTATGGGATGGTATCCATGAAGAGAAATGTAAAAATGGGAGGTTCAGTTAAGGATTCAGACTGGTAAACTATATCAAGAGCTATTTCGAATCCTGAATCTCTATCGTCAATATTTATATACTCACTTTGTTTGATTAATTTCGTTCCATCCCAATTCTTTTTTAGATGGTAATCTTAAAAGTATTCAATGCAGAAAGGAATGTTGCTTCACTAGTTGTATAGTTGAACCCTTTTTTATAATACACGAAGCCCCATTGGTTCCATGAAATGTAGTAGTACTTATCAGTTTCTAACTTTGCCTCAAAAGTGCGTGTTGATAATGTTATCCATATGAACAAAGGGGACTTCACAGCTAAATTGTCCGGCTCAAAGACAACAACAACAAAGTGAGAAGAATTTCTTCAGTGTTATTTTGTAGTCTGGGATGCCCTTACTAGTTTTTTATCCAAAATATGTTTGAATAAACAAATGAGACATCTAGTACGCTTTAAATGATTTCTTGTCAGGTTTTCGTTTACATAAAATTATTAGGTAATACTAACCGAGTACAAGCCCTAACTCGAGTCGTAAATGTGAATTCACTAACTGTTCTGGTGTAAGTTTCTTAGTTCTCATCATTTAGTGTTATCTTTAGTTTGCACATGATTCAATAGTAGTATTCGCAACGGTATAAACTTATATATCTCTAGCTGGGTATCGAAATCCATCCTTTATTTTTTCACTTATCTTTTGGGAAATCAATTGTGATCTCTACTTTATGATATTAACTGCATAACTTCACAATTTACGTATCAGAATATTTATCTGTCAGGAATATTTTCCAATAATGACAGTTTACTACGCATTATTTTATTTTCAGGTTTGCCCTACCTGCTTTGGTTTCTCCAGGTAGAAGTTGGATTGTACCGGTTGGAACTGCTGTGGCCCTTCTCTTGTCGCATCATCATCAAACTTACTGGAAACGACAGCAATTAAAATCTGGTCGTCATTTGAGTAAAACCAATAACAATCCACCCACGTCGTTTGATTCTGTCAATATGTTTTGCGAAAGACAAGTAGATGTGCCCAGTATGAACTCAATCAGTGGTTCTATCAATAGTCCAAATGTTCTGGTAACTAATTCTCATATGGATAAACAACCTACACATCTACAAGTTACTTCTCCCTTCTTTTGTGTCTGTTGTCTCCATACAAAGCGTGGTCGAGTACCACTGAGCCAACTAGTACCAAATGAGCTAGAACTTGCGCGACCTCCTGATGTCGAAAAAGGTAGTGTTATAGCCATCTACTATGAACTGGAGCCACTACCTACAGATGATTCATATGAACAATGTACAAGTCTTCCGATAGATGGAACTATGAACATACTTAATGATATTAGCAATATTCCGTCTATAATACCAGATGAGAATGTACAGAACCTTTTGAGGTATACTTTGAACTCTACCGAAAGTGAAGAGGATTCAGATACGGAAAAACTGCTTTTTCTTTTTCGGTTTCATATTGTTATTAATGGCATCGACATGATTGCAATAGCAGTAAGTCATACTTCATTAAAACGTATTTGGACCTTTAACTTAATCCCTCGAAAAATGTTTTGTGATAACTACACTTCATAATCTGCGTTTCTTACCTGTCGATCTTAATAAAATATTTCGGAAATGGTCTTCTTAACGTTATAGCAGTGGCATTTGACATTTTAGCCAAATCGTCTGAGGTTCGAATCCTGCTTCACCTTCTGTTAGACCAACTCGGTAGTATCAGTGCCATTCATATCCAAGTACTTGGAGAATAAGTTCACTGATTGTTTTTCTCAATAAATAGTTTGCGAGTTGGTAGGGGAGTATTGATTTTATTGACTGCTCCACTCATTTGACCATTTGCATCCAATATGATCAAATATATTAAAAGTTTTCGTTAGATTTGCTTACGTGTACTGCTGCATAATATCGCCAAAACGAGAAGAAAAACTAGAAAACTGAAAAGCGTGGAGGCGGAAATAATAAATATGAGATATATTTCAAAAAAAGATGAGAAATGAGTATATCCGCATGACTGTTACCAATTTTGAGCCATTTCACTTGAGGTGTCCAATCATTGTTCAAACGATAGAATTATCATTAATTAAATACCGATTTTGCTTATATTAGGAAGATTAAATTTAGAAAAGACTACTACGAATCGCTAATTTGATAGTAAATAGGTTAAAGTGTACGTACATTAAGGCTGTCAAAAGTCCAGTATAACTAGATTCTTAATGCTCGTTGTAGAAACTAATTTATCTGCTCAATCGTGAAGTTTAGCAGGAGATCATAACCTCTGTGTAATTTTTCGCTACAGGAAACAGTGGCTATTTCACCATCTGATTTTGAAAAGAATCTAATCAGTGTGGACTCCTCATTTTCACCTGTCAATGGAGATGCAAGCAGTATCAATTATAGTGTGACTAACAGTACTAGTGAAACTCCTGAATCATTGCCAACTTCTGATCTTCATTCTTCCGATAGTATCCCTTCTTCCACACCGCGTATGCGGGCTGTTTTTGATGTTTATGGTCAAACTAAAGCAATTCAATTGCGGTCGTTACAACAGGTAAGTTTTTTGCTGTATGGGAACTAACTTTTAAATTCGCTTAATTAGTAGAATAAAAAGGTGAAGCATAGCTATACAATCTGTGATTTTTTAAAAATAGACTTTGTACATTTTACTTCAGTATTATAATATAAATTATTTCAGAAATTTGATCCCAGGTATAGAAGTTAAGAAAGGTGAGTTTAAAATTTTCTGTTATTTTTAGTCATCAATAATTGTAGGTTACTAAGCCCGTAAATAAGTGTATCAGATAATAAATATCAGGTGTAACAGTTATATTTCCTGTATTAGTTGTCTATTTTCCAGTCTACGAAGTACTTGCAAGAAACCAATTCTAAAATTAATCACTATTGGTAACTTCATTATTCGTAAACTCACCTCTATTTCAGACTACGATTGTGTTACAGGCTATAAGTCGTTACACTTTCACTTTATATTTTTCCATAGGAAGGATTTTTAGTATTAAGAAAAGTCTTCAGATTCTACATAGAGAGAGTGGCGTCGTAATGTTTGATGCTTCCGAGTTACTTACCATATCTTCGTCATATACTGTTGGAAGGGATGGTATGTCATAAGTTAAATTAACAGTATTATATGGGAAACTAGGTCCTCTAATCTTCATTTAATGTAAACTCTATTTTATATGGGGGTCATGAACTGAATTCTTATGTTTTCAGGTTTTAAAATTCATGTTTGGTCTATTGCTTGATATGAATGCCCATATTTCAAGTTGCGAAACGTACCGTTGAATATTCAATGTTGAACTAGGTCTTCTTAATAATCATATCTTATACAGTTATATTTTAACGAAACGATGTGGAGTAATGTTGATGGATCCCATTTAAGAGTTTCTCACACGTACAATCTGTTAGTCGCGACGTAGAACTCGGTACGTATGTACATCGGCTCAAATCGCCATACTCCATTAGCACAGAGAGATGAAATTGTCAGGCCGAATTCCAGTATAGTGGAGGTAGTAAATGTATCAGTGGTAATAAAAAAGATTAGGCATCAAATATACAATTGAAGAAAATATAAACTAGTGGAACAGAAGAAATATTCTGAGGAATTTAGGATCTCAGAACTTGGGGGATGACAAAGAATGGGTTCATTTGCGTCATTTCAAATGATTTTAAAGTAGATTATTTCAACCAGACCTTAAATAATAAGTTTTAAATTCTGGTTTTCTTCTTTCTGTACACGTTGTTAATAAAATTGATAGTTTTTATTCTTATCAGTATAATAGATTCCTCATTTTTTGTATGATTATTTTATATTAACTTTACAGAATTCAATTGCACAATTAAGCCGTTTATGCTCGTGTGCTATTCTACATCATATATTTTATATATTTCATTCCAATCGTTTTCTAAACACTGAAACATCTAATTTTGATTCAGATAATTCATTTAATATATGCTCCAAATCTAGTAGAATGCGTAATTCACCACAAATGATTGTTCCAAATATGATGAAAAATAATAGGTTTCGGAAATTATTTATTATGTTAGATAAACTTCCACTACCTAGAGTTGAGCGACGTCGTTTACAACGTGATGCTTTTGCTGTATTAGCTCGAGGAATTGCTGATTAACTACGAATTGTACCCAAGAAGTATTTCTTATATTGTGTATATTACAGAAAAGAAAAAAAAGTCACCAAGTGTCTTTCACCATTATTATTTACTTGTCTTAGATCCGATCTCCAGTTTTAGCTATTATTTTGTAGTGCGCGTTTGTGCTCATTAGAGGGAGTAAAGCTGTTCCATGGCGAAGGTGAACAATAAAAGAGATTCCATACAGACTATTCAATCTACATTTCATTATATTTTAATGTGTTGTTTATTGCTTCATTTATTTATTTACTTATTGAAATCAGATTTGAAAGGACATTACCCATTCGCTTAGTGTTTTATTTTGCTTGTACACATTTTTATTTACTTCGTATTGTATACAGAATAATTCTGAGTGGTTAATGGAAACTGTTGAAAATTCCAATTTCAATATAAAAACTTTTGAAAAATAGTGTGATTTTGTTATCTAGTGTGCTTGTGTATGCCTGTATTACTATATCTATTAAACTGATCAAACTACATTTGCAAATATTACTCATCAGTGATTGATATTGATCTAAACAAGTTATTTTTCTAAATAAGAAGTTATACAAATTGTGTTATAGAAGTAATACACATATTAGTGAAGTCTAATCTCATTCTTTTTATTTCTGTATTTCACAAGTTGACTAATATTAAAATGTCGACAAGCCAATTTGGCATGCGTAAAAACGAATTAGAAGATAAATAGGGACTAAATGTTGTGGATAATTTTAGTCTTACATAGTTGTTTTAAGCCAACAACTTGTGTAGAAATCGTAAGGTATAACAAACTGAACTCTTGGTACTTCATAGTTTTTAAAGATTATAAAATTGATACTGATTAATTTGTTTTCAAAATCGTCGTCAAAATGATGATTTATCCTATATGCCACGAGAAATTGCTTATTCATGATTGATAATGAATATATTTTATATTCGTTGTCATTTATAGTGTGCTTGTTGATTATCGAGCTAAATAATCGAATTCTCAAATTTAAATTTTATTTTAATAAAGATAAAATATAGACGCGTATTGTTCATAATTTAAATTGTCTTATACAATGTACTTGGTTAGTTTCTCAAGTTATAAAACACAGAATCCTGTAGCAGTTTCAATGTTGTATAACTTATTCATATGATTTAATGAAATATATTGATTTAAGGAGATAATATATACTATTCGGTTATTAATGCAAAAAATACTGTTAATTATGACTATAAATCATTCACGTGTGTTCATTGTACAAAGTGATTCATTTTATTCAATGGACTTACGAATATACATTTGTCAAATGATTGTGGTAGAACACATTTAATTGCAGATACTATTAACTTTGGATTAGCTAGTTATAAATAAAATCTTTATCCTTAATTATTACTGGTATATGCATATATATATCACTGATAGATTACTTCTAGAAAGCATTTATTATTGGGAGTTGTTTAATGCTGGTTCACTTAGAGTAGAAAAACCTTTGATAAAAGTCTAATTAGAGGAATATCATTGAGATAAAGTAGTAGCTTAATTGTTAAATCCTTTTCAATTTTTGGGTTACAATTTCGAGTCCTCCTCAGCATACTTTAGTTTGAGAAATGTGTTAATATATCTAGATTATACTAAGAGTTTACCTCAAAGTCGAATACATAAACATTAACTTGATAAGTGATTTACATTAGCAGTCTTTAATTATTGCACTGAATGGTGGACTCCATGCGAATATCAGAGTTTTACTTTTAAACTTCATTAAAAATTTATATATCTAACTGATAGTTGCTCATTTTAAGGAAGCATTATATGTGTAGCTTGGAATAAATGTGTAAAGTTTAGGAAACATTATGCTTAAATGGTTTTATCAACATAACAACAGCTTTCCGACTGTTACAATCCAGTCCTTTGGTAGTTTTACATTTACCTCTAATCAGTTCAAAAATTCAATAGTTCTATACAGTTGACTGTTAAAATAAATGTTACTTTCAGTATGAATCATCAAAAATATATTAGATCATTTTCTCTTCACTACACTTTAAATTCATTACTTTATTGATATTCAATTTAGTTGATGAATAATTCGTAATTAGTTTTTCTAACTGATTGATCTAGTGTAGACTTATGAGAGCGTAGTACCAAGGAGTTGCACATGAAGTTGAAGTGAAAATCATGTTATTCTTGGTATTTAACGTTTGTCTAGTTGACATAAATTCATCAATTAGACTGTCTGTTCATTAATTTCCGTTAATTAAAACTTTTGTTTTATTATATTTAATTATTTGTTCATTTGTTTTGTAGTTATCAGTCCCTAATGCCATCAAATAATAAAAGTTCACTCCGTCAAACCAATAGAAATTTACGAGCAGAAATTGATGTACTTAAAGCACAAATTGTCCAAATGAAAAATGACTTATCTCAATCTCATACTATTCGTCCTAAAATTGATCAAATGAGTAATGAAGTTGTCGACTCTAATCCATATAGTCGTCTTATGGCACTTCAACGTATGGGAGTTGTTACAAATTATGCTCTGTACGCAGTCTGTATAATTTTGTGAAGAATTTTTTTTCAGTGTTGAAAGACTTTATTATTATTACGAAGAGTAATCCTTTACTTTAACACAAAATTTCGTTAATATGCGTACCTAGACTTCTGTTGGTAGTTTGTTGTGATGTTTAAAAGAAGAGTGAAATTTCCATGATTAAGTTACTCAGATTAGTAAAGTCAACTCCACCAGAATTATTTAAATATTTTAGTGGGAAGGTAGAAATCCTTTAAAAATAAATTCTTTTCCATTTAATAAACAGATGGGTGCTGCTGTTTGCAATAACAGATACAGATTATTAGTCACACTTGGGTCTCAATAGTAATCGTAGAAACATTGATACCACGATAACAAACGCTCTATTAACAGTAATATCGTATCCAAACAGTTAAATAGGTAATCAGTTATATGTACACAAAATTTACTTGTTTATAACAGTCAATTCATCATTTGAATCGGTACAAAAATATCCAATATAATTAGAGTGGTTCATTTCATAGTCAAATACTTATTTAGTATCTTATGAATTTTTGACATGTTTCTGATAAATATTGACATTAGTATTTGTATAGAGAAATCAATCACAGTGAAATATCTCTATCCTTTCATCAGTTTCAATCACTAGTCTACGGTATTTAAAACATATTAGAAATAATTTTCTCTTCATTTCCAAATGATAATACGTTTTAGTAAATTAAAACAATGTTACAAATTTATTTGTAAATGGTAGAATAGTATAATTAATTGATTAGAAAAATTCACCAGTTCAAGTAATCTTCTTTTCAAAACAGCGTATATCTGACATGAAAAATTGTAACTTAATTTGTCTGTACCATAGCTTTTAAAGCAATCTCTACAAAAAATTCTTAGGTTCCCGTCTTGTGTTCTAGGTCTTTATACCATTCATTTCTACTGAACAATAGAAATTTCATCTGTATGTCATAGTTAATCATCACTAATGAAATAGAAATTAGGCTATAAGAATACAGGATTTATACTTTTTTTTCTGGTGATAACTTCAATAAAGCAATCTTAACTTTCCTCTATTGTGCGTTTTCACCATTTATTCGCTCTGCTGAAAATTTCTCGCTATTATTTCAACATACAAGGCTAAACAAAAATTCTATGGTTTAAATCACTAAATGATCTTAGCTAGACCACCATTGAAACCAGGAACAATTGTTTCGCTCTAATGTTGAGCTCCTTAGCAACGCATATCCACGACCCCGCATGCGAAAATCAAACTCAAGACCTTCGGTTCCGCTCTTGAACCCTCGACTTCTAGACCATAGCCAGTATCCAACGCTGTTAATGCCTAACGTCAATCAACTGAAGGCCGTGGGTTCTATTTTTAGATGCGGTGTCGTAAGATCGCACTTCGAACGAGTCCCATACTAGAACGAAATGACCGTTCAGTGCTTCCAGGCTTTCAATGGTAGCCTAGCCAAGATAAGTTCGTGATTTAAACTATCAAATTTCTACTACCTCCATAAATCTCTTTATACTACAAAAGCAAAATTTGTTAACTGGTTTATTTGATCAATTAGAACATATTGCTCTGTACAGCTGATGGTAATTTAAGTTTAAAAATCTGTCATAAGTAATTAGTTTAACTTTAACTATTCTTTTTACTATTTCAATTTCTCAGACTATCGAATGTCTGCACATAATTTGTGTTATTCTTAAACCAGAACAAAATCAAAATTCACCTGGTTATTTATTACAGTTTTTCAAATTGCAGTCCATTTAAGGAATATCTTTATTTTATTGTTAAAAACTTGTAGTTGTTACTCAATGGATAGACCTATTTATTGAGTAAATCAATCATCTATTGTTTCTCACATGTTACTGTTTTCTTTTAACGGATGATTGTTTCTAAGTCAAACGTAAAATTGAAAAAAGTTATTTTGGAAAATAATATAAAATGTTTATTTGATACAGCCTGATCGCTTGATAAGTTTGAACAGAGCAAGAACAATAAGGTTTGCAAAACAAGATTAATGCATTCTATTTTATAGGTTCTCTCCAGCTGCAAATAGTTTAAAATTACAGGAAATACTATAACTATAGACATTGCGTAATCCTTTTTTCTTTTCATTATGAGTATTAGTAACCATAATGTCACATCCCTTACTCTTCATTATTATTCTTCAACATACAAACACGCATCAATCTTAACCATATTTAGTCAGTTTGTATCGTGTTGTTTTTATAACGATTCTCAGTTCCGTTTTAAACATCCATCTCAACTTCACCAACCAAATTGTGTTAAACCCTTGTTCATAATTATATTTTCCCATGTGATTTTGGGCTGTTTAGACGTCATAAGAAACTCGGAAACAATTCATCTTATTTTATCGTGTTCACTGATATATACGAATGATTGATATTAGACAACCTAATATTTTTCACTGTTATCAGATGCAAAAATATCCAGGAGTTCGTGAATAAAATTTTATGGATCGCTTCCTCGTCCCATAAGTACATATTTGTTTAAGTGGTGTTTTGCAATAATCTAATTCGCTTTTATTCAATTCTAATTTCTAATTATTCAGAATTCGAGAAAAGACTGTTGTTATAGTGGGTATTGGGGGTGTTGGCTCAGTGACTGCTGAAATGCTTGTTCGATGTGGAATCGGTCGTCTGATTTTATTTGATTATGATAAAGTGGAGTTGGCCAATATGAATCGATTATTTTTTCAGGTTAATAAAATTTAGTATTATTATTGTCCTGGTTTTTTTAATTTTATTAACACTAATAGGGTTATTATATATTTCAAAGCTTTGGGAAGAAGTTTTCAACTATCGTGTTATGTGAACACATCTTTATATGAACAATCTCTTATTGTTGTTTATTCTTCTACTATGATTAGTATGGTGATTCTTATCGCCACTAACTTCCTTTTCAGTTTCTCTTTTCTGTGTTAATATGAAGTTTATCTAATTAAATTGCTACAATATGTGCTTAGTCTCTTCAACTCAACTAAGATTTTCTTGTGCTGTTGTTGCTGAATAATTATTGTATATTATCTAACCTCAGGGAGCTTGTAAATTACGTATTTATTCTTCATTGTGACC